GATTTCGGCCGCGACAATGAGATCCATGACGAGGAAGGCGTAGGGCAAGCTCCTTTCGGTGGCGATTGAGGCGCAATCCGCCATGTGGATCATGACGTATTTCGCCCAATTGATCGAGGCGCCATGGGTGATTGCATGAACGGCCTTGAGATCCTCGTTGAAGAGACAAGTGTGGCTGCCGTCCCGGGGGCGAAGAATCTGGGTGAGGATGTAGAGTAGAAGGCGCTTCTGCGGCGGGGCTGAGTGAATGGTTGGTGCGTCGCTGTGACGGACGAGGTTGGTGATTCCCAGCTCTTGGATGACCACCGCCTCGTTGTTGAGGATCCAATCATCGCCACCATAAGTCGCGATGTCGTCACCGCGAGTGGGCAAACCTGCGATCCTGGCAAAGGGAGCCAAATCAAACTCGAAGTCCACGAGATTGATGCTGCTGCGAATAGTGTCCCCATCCCGGCGGAGATTGGAGTAGAAAGCCCGAACGTAGGCGGGATTGAAGGATTGACGGCTTCTGGAGACGAACGACCACAGACCCGACTCTTTGAGTTGATTGTCGAGTTCGTGGTACCCCTTTTGTTGAGGGTACAGCTCCGGGAGCACGCGGGGCGGAGAGATCGGGCGCTTGGCGAAGTAGGTGATGAAGCGTGTGAGTTCTTCTTCTGACCCGAACTCCAAGAAGGAACCGTCGAGATAAGGGAAGGGTTGAGGCGCAGATGACGTAGCCTCGGTGGTGACCTTCTTCTTCAAAGCCTTTGTCTTCTTTCCTCCGGCCATGATTGAAGCAAAAAAAAAAGAAAAAATTGAAGAATTATGTAAAAGAGGGGATTTTGATGTGAAAAAGGTGTGTTAAAATGACCAAGGGTGAAGCAAATATATAGGGAGAGGGTGGATTTCCGTTTGAATTTGAAAAAATAGCTGTTGGGCCTTAAATGATGTCTTCAACGGTTTAGAAATTTTGAATTTTTCCAGCCTTCCCAGCGATGGGTAGATCTTCCCATCGATGGGAAGGGCGCTACTGGAAAGCGAGAAGAAAACAGGGCTGCCTTCCCATCGATGGTCAAACTCACCCATCGATGGGAGGGTGGCTACTGGAAATCCGTTAAAACGATTTTAAAAAAGAAGTGTCAAACACCCATCGATGGGAGAAAGTTACCATCGATGGGATGGGAGGTTCTGAAA